AAATTAGGATCTTACTTCGATTTGTCATGCTGATCTTTCCTTTGCAACGCCAGTGCAATCTAAAAGCCAAATAGATGGTAAAGCTGGCAAGTAGCAATGGTACCAGGCTGCACAGACACCAAGCCATTATCAGCCATACGAACTTTCGCGAAGACTGACTGGTCTTGGATGCCTCCACTGCTTTTGGACCACCACCCAGGGCTTCTGGAATAACTTCCAACACCTCGTTTGAGATGTTAGGTTGTGTGAGGAGGTCACTGAGGACTTGAAGCAACAGTTTGACAAGGTCACTGCCACCTGACTCCAACTGTGGGCTCAATTGTATGACAGTTGATGAGTTGACGCTCTGAGACTTAATGAACACGTAGTTCAGGAGGCCACCGTCCATGAAGGGAGCCAGGAGCTGGTGGAGGCTGTAGAAGACGGCGAGCATATAGTTTTGCAGACCAATCGACATCTTATGTTGGCACAGCCCTGAAGTCTGGGCCCTCTGATAAGATGACTAGCAGAAATAGCAAAAGAAACAGTTTTTTATTGTCAATTGAAGTAGATTTCCAGGCTGTAATTAATTCTCGAATAAGAGCTTGACTACCATAGGTCGCCTAAGATGAGTTAAGATCTGATCATTGAGTTTTATCTCAATCAATTCAGTAGACCTGTGGATACCATTAAATTTTTGATATTGCTCTCCATATCGAAGGAAAAGCTAGTTAGAAGAAATTTGTGAAATGACCTGACCGGCAACCAAAGGAGGATTACCACGGAGCAAAGACTGCTCGAATGTGCCAAGAAGTCCTCGACTTACGGTCCTGTGACTCCGAATAATCTGTACTAAGCTTACGAATGAACCGCCGTGACAAACATCATCAGAACAAAAATCCATACTTTACGAAATAGCGCAAAAAATACACTAAACAAAGCGAAAGATGGCCGGCTACAATCTTAGTCCCTTTTTGTACACCTAAACTTCCAATCTTAATATGGCAGCCCATGATTGGGTTGGTTACATTAAACTTGCTCTTAATGCTCGCAGATGAGTGAAGTTAATTCATGAACAGGAAGTGGATTCGGTGGCAGCTATTTGATTACATTAACAAACTAGCGTAAGATCCTCTAAGGCTGACTCGTGTTTAAGTATGTACTATTGTTTTTTAACCAACTTTTCCTTCGAAATGTAAAGTCCTATCACAATATACCACCGAGGCAATCTTTGAAGCACAGTTTTTCATCTTGCCATTGAATTCCCCTTAGCTTTGTCCTCCAAAAGGCTACCTTATCAAGCCTAGACTACAGTTTCGTCCTTGCCTAGGTCTCCTCAGCATCTTTAGCGAGATTCGAAGCCGAGTCGTGCGTAGCAGTTTGATGTTACCAATCCAATCTACTTGGAGAGATCAACTATCGGTCCTCAAATCACCTTCAACGACCTAGAGCGACTAAACTTTTAAACAGTTTTTTAGCTCAAAAACAAACCTATTACTTTAGTTAGCCTAAGGACGATCTACAACTGCCTAATCTGACTGATTGCTCTCTTTTGGCCCTTTTGCACTGCATAAAAAAGCCTACCGTTTTCCCAAGGTACGAAAAACAAATTGTATACAGATATGAATAAACTTAGTGTTATATTCGAGGAAAAGTTAAGTTTTGAGGAATCTCTTGTTTCATAATTGTTGAGATAACTTTCATTTCGAGTGGAGGTGTTGGGTGAAGAGATTCAAATGTCTGTTACACCAGAAGACGACGGCGGATTCCTCTTGACCAGTTGTCGATTGGCTTTACTGGAACATTAATGCCGACGCTATTCCCGAGGTAATCTCCTTCGATTCCGGTAAAAAGGTGCTAAGCTTTCGTCCGCCATATGACAAACATCATCAGAGCAAGGTATCATCGTCACAACAAAATTCAAGCTAACGAGTTTCTTGAGTTCGCCGTTTTTTTCTGGTGGAACCGATCTTTGAATCTCTTCACCCAACACTTTCACTCTAAATAAAAGTAAGCTAAAAAAACTTCGTGTTGCCAGCATGACAACCAAAATAAAAGTACAACTTAACAGGCTTGTTCTGTTCTAATATACAAACACACGCCTAAACATTATCCTTTCTATTATTATGGACAGTAAAAAATTAACGCAATGTATGGATGAAAAGTTAAGGGATATGGCTCTATCTTTTACGCATTGTGATAGGGTGATTGACAGAGATATAGCCAAATATAAGCGGAAAATAAGATTTGATTATCCACAAAAATTGGCGGTATAAGAGGCTAAAATTATAAGGCTTGACTTTTACTTTTGGAGGAAAATTTGGTTCTAAGGTATTCGTGAATTGGTCTCACCAGAACCCAAATGAGGATTGAATTTTGGTGAAGTCTGTTGGGTTGTACAAATAAGTCTTTAGCCTCCTGTCCCGCGACCCAAATCCAGCCGGAAAACTCACAAATATGCAAAATTCGGATTTCGTAAATGTTCGTTCTTGGCCATGGATGGATCGGGGTCTCATGACCATGTGTAGAAGGCTTCCTCCAACATTTTCCACTACAAGCAATCCTCCTTCCGGTTCTGGTGAGGCATTTTCATGAATGCTTTCAAGCTAAACATTCCTTCTATTGGAAAATGTGAGGCCCACAAGCCTATAATTCGATGCAAATCATGCTTTCCAGGTGGCTTAGGGATTGCTTTGTTCATTCTTAAAGCCTTACGTGTACGTCACAGCTTCTATTGGGTGAGGTCGGAACAGCATAACATTCAGGACAAGAATGGGAGTTTCGTATTCATTACATAGTTGACGGTGTATCTAGTCCACAATCGAATTCCTTAAAGTAAATATCAACTTAGTAGCAGTAAAGGTTGTTTGACCTTGTTTTCGCAACATGGTCATATTGGTAGGAAGACTTATTGGAACGCACCTAGT